ATGATATATACACAAGCATGCACGTATACATATACACCTATATATATATATATATATATATATATATATATATATATATATATATATATATATCCAGATAGATAAATAGATTTTTAATGCTTGGGTGTGCCTTTTTATATCGCAGTAGTAACGCTATCCATCACAGTCTACTTTAATTCTAAAATCTTTGCCATTTAATATTAGTAAAAATACAATATATTAATGTTGGGGGCGCGTGTGCGTGTGTATTTGTATGTTTGTATATGTGCATGTTAAATAATATATAAAGCCAAATCAGTAGAAATTGAATGGAATAACAAAAGTAATAAGCCCACTTGTCCGACCGGATGTATTGGCCAACAGGCGGAAGCGAATGACGTCATGCACAATTGATTGGTAGGAATTTTCATTGGCTACTGCTTAATAATGATCGAAAGAAAATTGTTTTCGTTTTTTTTTCTTTTTTTTTTATTTTAGACAATTACCTCCGCTAACTTTGTTGAATGTTAAATTCTCTGATTATACGTGTGTGCATGTCCATAAATGTTTACCTATTCTATCTACATTTGTCTCTTTATATGTGTCCGCATGGGTCTGTGAGGACGTGTGTGTTTGTGTACGTCAATTTTCATTTGTTTGTGTGCTGTTTCATGCATATGTGTGTACACAGGTACTACTACATGAGTCAGAAATGTTTTCACATGCACACACACTCACTCTCAGACACACACACACACACACACACACACACTCACTCTCAGACACACACACACACACACACACACACACACACACACACACACACACACACACACACACACACACACAGGGGAGAGAGGAGAGAGAGAATCAAAGCTCACTCAATTCCAGAATCAATATTCATTGAAATACTACTTTTGGAAAATGAGCTGTACTGAGAAATTTTCAGTACCACCTCCGACATATATATATATATATATATATATATATATATATATATATATATATTAAAGAAAATCCCAAACCGTTGAATAACTTGCCAAAAGAGCTAAATAGCCTTAACTAAGATAAAATTTCGAACAAGAACAGTAATAAGAAAAAAAAAATAAAAAAATAAAGTCAAGCACCTACCTTCTCAGTAAAATAAAGTGCCCGATTCCCGGATCACCTAGACAGAGCAAAAACGTTTGGCGACGTTAATTCCTATGAAAGGATGGTCCTGGTTGTAACCCGAGTTTCACGCGATCTTCAAATAGATAGATAGATAGATAGATAGATAGATAGATAGATGAGTCTTAACCAAATAATTGTATATGCTCACTGTTTGTTAATGACAGCCATGTTTATTTTGTATAATTAAGCTTAATAGCAACTGATCAAAATATGCATTAGTATAAAGATTAGTCATAAAAGGATTTATCCTATGTTTCAATGAGATTCGAGGAGGTGCTATAAAGCTGTTAGCATGACCAACTTCTTCAAAATCTGGCCAAATGATCAAACAAAATTTCGTTTTGAACCTATTTATGGCCTCGAATTTTTCAGTTCACTTCCGAAGCTTTTGATCAAGCTGTGTTCTAGCAACTGTTGGCATTTGTTAATCTTTGAACGATAACTAAACTAATGATCTGGTATTTGAATAGAAAGAAAGTGATTCAAAGGATAATGGGAAAAGAAACCATTCATAATAATGAAATGCGTTTATTTAACCAGGGTTACAAATTTTAACCCTTCCTCCTTTTGGTGGTGCTGTAGTTTTCCTAACTATGACCGTCCTGTCAGCTATCATGAGTACAACTTTCATTGGCACATTGGATCGTTAACTGGCTTATTACAGTCAGGGAAGTTAGTTTCTTTGACTTTTCTGCAATCGGAAATACTTAATTTGGGAATCTTTGCTTCTCGGGCTCTTTGATAAGTTCGTGTCGCAAGTGTTATTGTGGAAAGTGATCGTGGTTCGTCTTTTGGTCATCGCACCCGGTTGTTTTTACTCGGCTTTTTCCCGCGACAATCGCCCAAGGACTAAAATCCAATGGTTTATATTGAAGAGCTACCGGGGTGTTTTTGAAGCTTGTGATAATATATTAATGGTCTATAAATCCCAATCTCACTCTTCTAAATTTGGCTTAATCAATTACATGAACATTAAAACTTTAATTTTCCATCCTTTTGGGGTTTGGTTCTTTTGCAAATCATTATTTTCCTTCACTTGAATATTTTTGAATGATGGAAAATTAATTTCTGTGTTTTTTTTCCGCAAATGATCGTTTAGTCAGTATTGCACATCGAATAGATATTTTGTCGGAATCACTTCATCCGCAAAAGTACTATGACCCTCTTGATATAAACTGAGATTATATTTTTTATCTTACCTATTTCTTTTTCTAATGCTTAAGTACAAACTGTGGTCTATTGTAATAAAACAAATAAGGTATTTATACCTTATTATTTTCTTCAAACACCTATGAAACATCAATCACTAAAACTCATTAACTTCTATCTGAAATTAACATGAAAGCTCTCTAAAATGTTCTTCGTGGTCAAAGGCACCAGATGAGTCGGTTGCATTCATTTCATAACAATGCAGTACAAGCGAACGAAAGTTCGTAAATGGTTAGCGAAATTAATCAGCTGGACTAACGGAGGTAGTCGCCTGTGAAATGCTCAGTAACGTTTTTGTCAATCCAGCTGGAGCTGCTTACCGATCGTATTAACCCAAATTCACAACTTGTTAATGGCTTACGCCCCCCCCCCACTTCGAGCACCTCGTCGTGGTGTAATGGTTAACAAGCTTGTCTCGCTAAAGCAGTTACGACTGAATAGTGAGTTCGATCCTCATTAGGTGCCCCGTACTTTCGGCCTTGTGCCACATCTAAGCAATGCTTACAAAATAAATACCGTCTCCCCTTCTAAACAGCTACCGTAAAGCGAGTCACCCTTTTCTATCTTGGTCTGCACACACGTCGTGTTGTAGTCTGTCTCTCTTTTCAAGTGTTAACGTGCGAAAAATAAGAAGCAAAATTTTGAATACAGTTTTAATTTTGCATCAGTTTCTCTCTCTCTCTCTTTCTCTTTCTCTCTCTAGAACACGTCGTTAGTAAGGGTTTTTCATTTTCGCGGCTGCAAGAGAAAATAAATTTGCCTTCGATATTTAAATGGGGGCAATACCGATATGATCAATCTAACGTCTTTTGGGACGAAGTCTGATTATTATTGGCATAGTTTTCTCTGAAAGAAAACTCAGACACTTTCATATTGTCAACTGGTAAACACCATGACCCTTAATTCTTATGACTGGCTACAATCATGAATCCGTCGTTTATATTCTAAAGCCTATCCCAACTCTATACTTCTAACGTCTTCATCTGGACGCTGAAATTTTATTTACTAGTTTTTCCTCAGTCCGGTTCACGGTGGCATGGTGAAGTAATGGCTAGCGGCTCGGATTGAGGAATCGGAGAGCCAAGTTCAAATTCCAGTTGAATTCGTTACATTCATTTACGTGCAAATATCCTTGGGGAAAGCTATAAATCCATTTCTTATACCCACCCCTGCAATAAATAGTAGGTCAGGCTGCTTCCTATAGTCTTGGGTTACAACCAGTCCAGAAGGACAACTCTAAATTCAAGATCTCTAACTATCGGTAAATAGTAGGGCAGACTGGGCTTTTCAGCCTTGGGTGGCAACCCGTCTAGGAGAAGGACAATTCTGAATTAAAAAAAAAAACATATGTAACCATGGCGAAACACATACTATGAAGCTAAAAAAAGCATCCTGGGGTTTACAATGACTCTATGATCCTGTCTGCGGTCGCGCACACGCGCGTGTGTGTGTGTGTGTGAGAGAGAGAGAGAGAGAGAGAGGCGGGGGTGTTCTGGAAAAAATGTTTTAAACCGTCCAGTTCACACTCTTCGTCCGTCGTTTGAACGGAGTAAATGTTTATCCTTTGTTCTCTTTCTGGTTTGATTTTCCTGTAACTTCTAAAGCCTTTTCCTCCTCTTTCACTTGCATTTAAGTTGCGTTATCGCCTTGCTAGGGGCGAATTGATTAAAAAAAATATTTCTTTTAACAGCAATCAACTGTCGACAGCGGATCCCTGCACAAAATGTGTCTTGCTATCAAAGGACCGATCAATCAGATGCTACATTAAATATATTGATTTAGACAAAACGATTGTCTTTTTACAGATATACTCTATCGAAAATTTTACACATTAAGAATATATTACTCATTAACTGTCCCGTTACAAATTTCAAAGAAGCTCGGCGTTAAAATAATCACTATTAAAAGACAACAGCACCATCGTGCAACGCTGACATTGGACACAACAACCGAATTCCAGTATAACCACTGCTCCAAACTCTGCGCATCCAAACTTGGTTTGCTGAACCACCTTCGTATCTACTGATGGTTTTAAAACAAAATTTTATTCGAACCCGAATGGCAACTACATTTATCCGTTTCTTTCTCTGAATGGACCCTCCTTCGACTACCCACCTGTTCTGGGTAATTGCCATTTTTTTTTTCTTTGTTACCTTTATTTCACTCAGATATTGATTGTTCAATTTTATCCTATTGCTCAATTTTATCACTCATCATACGCGGTAGCTTGTTTGGACCTTGATCTCTTTTCAGTCTGTATTATTTTTATTTTTTCTCGTAAATTCTATTATTTTTAAAATCAGTCTGGTAATCTTTAATTCCCAATTCCTTTCGGCATCTGATTTTATCTAGTCATAAACATTTCTCTATGATGAGATGCGGCGTCGAGGTGTTTTAAACCTTTTTTTTAGTTAAATCTTTAAGCAGTTCGAACGTAAATCGTTTCTATTGCTAGCTTTTAAAATCGTAGCCAGTTTGATAGCCAGTTCTATTATAACACAAAGAGAGACAAAAGGATATAAATAGTCTAGTTGCAGAATATCTATTGCGATGCATTCTTGTAAAGTTATAGTATACTGGACTACTTTTTACCTAGGGGTTCCCATTTGAAGCTTTTACCCCTTACCTATCAACCGAGAATGCTTTCCGATGCTTGCAGTTCATTTGTTTTTTTATTCGTGAATGACGTATGCAAATACAAAGGTCACTATTTCTCATTCAAAATAACTTAGTGGAATAAAGACCCTTTTCATAAAGCATTATTGATCGTCTTTCGTCTTTTCCTACTTCTTCCTCTTCTATTTTACTTTTCACTCAACTTTCCTATATTCTCCGCGATTACACACACACGCACGCAGCACACACATATATCTTTCTTTTTTTCATATTTTCTTCATATCTCTACACACTACAGCTTTATCCTCTTTCTATATTTTATTTTTATTTCTATCTTCTTCTATCTCTTTCTCCTCTTTACTTTTATTTATCTCGCAATCATGTTTTCTCTTTATGATCTTTTATTCTCTCTTCTTTATTTCTCTTGATCTTTTTTCTACACTTTCTTATTCTTTTTTTTCCTTCATAATTTTTATCAAACATTTTCTCTATGTTGGGTTTGTCTCCCTTTATTTTCATTTATTCTTATTTCTTTCTTTCGTTTTTCTTTCTTTAGTTTTTCTTTCTTTCTCCTATTTCTCAAATCTCCTTTGCATATTGTGTTTACATCATTATAACGACCGAATCTTCTCTTTCTACCACTGTCCCCCCCTCTCTCTCTCTCCCTCCCTCCCTTGCTTTATTTTTCTTTTTTCAACTCTCACGTTTAAACATATATTTCTTTTACCAATATTCATTATTCAAGTCCTTATTTTTTTCTACTTTTTGTTCTAAAGTCTTCTAACTTTTTATTCTCACTTCCTTTAATTACTCCCTTTACACACTTGTATTTTTCCACCCCTTTATTTTTTACTCACTGCTTCATTTCTATCTATACGCTAAGATCTTTTCTTTTCCTTAATATCCATTTTTCCTGTCTTCTTTTTTTACCACCAGTTTCTCATATTTCATAACAGCCTCCTTTCTTCGCCCCCCACCCTACCCCGTTATCACTTTGAATCTAATTTCCTCAAAAGAAATGAATTCATCCTTTTATATCGTTTATTTTGTCTTTCTATCCAATTCTTTATTCAAACACTTTCCATCATTACCTCTGTGTTCTGTGTGTGTGTGTGTGTGTGTGTGTGTGTGTGTGTGTGTGTGTGTGAAGGTGTTGTGTGCGCACGCGTGTTTGCAACTTTCTTGCATTTTCTTTCTCTCTTTCTTGTAGTCTTTCGTTCTTATCAGTAAAATTCATTTTCCCGCCATCTTACCGTGTTTCTCTCTGTGCATCATTACACCTTCTTTTAACTTTTCTCATGTTTTCACCTTCCTTTTATCACCTTATCTGCAGAATTCACGGAACAATCTGTCCTACTCTCTCTCTCTCTCTCTTTCTCTCTCTCTCTCTCTCTTTCTTTCTCTCTCTCTCTCTATCTCATTCGCTCTCTCCCTTTCTCTCTCTTTGCCTCCTTCACTTTCTTTGCCGCTTCATTCTCTTTGCCTCCATCTCTTTCTTTGCCACCTTCTCTCTTTTTGTCTTCTTCTCTCACTTTGCTTCCTTCTCTCTCTTTGCCTCAGCCTGCAAAATGTGCAGGCAGATGCAATTGCAAAACATACACGTGTAACCGAGTTCAGGTCCAATCATAGCTTCTGATGTCACTTTCGTGAATATCTAACCCTCCTTCTAATCAGTGCCATTACCAGTCATACTGATCCTCCCTCTGGCTTGCTACAGTGGTAGAAAGTAAAGAGAGATTGGAAATAATATTATGCCCGATTCTTTAATTATGATCCGAAACACGAGCAAGACTTAATGAAAATGGAGATTGACGTCTTATGGAAAACGAGTGATTACTCATCATCGCTCATCATAATCGCTTTTTACTCTTTTCTTTTATTTCTCTTCTTTATTTCTTGTTAACTTCTAAATCTCTCTTACGCACCCAACTCTCCCTCTCTCTCGCACATACTAACAATTATTATTATTAATATTATTATTATTATTATTATTATTAACCACCAGCACTCCAAATAGATCTCCTTTTTTCGTTAACTATGCAATATTTTTATTTTTATCTTTTGAGAGAAAACTTTACTGTTACTCTTAAACGCGACAAACAATACAAAATCGAAATGTACAGGCGCTGCAAAAAGTAGATTTACGTTATTATTGATATGTTTGTATAATCAATACAATACATTTTGCGTGCAAGTTTTGTTTTTCATTACTGTATACCTACTTTTGCATCCCCGTGTATTAAGATGTTGGAAAATAATAACGTTTTACCAGAAATTATATAAAAACTAATCTAAGTTAAACTTATTTAAATATTATTTATCAAAACTGTAATCGCCCTCATTTTTAACAACATTTCAATGATAAGGAACATTTTCGATTCTGTGTTCTCTCTCTCTCTCTCTCTCTCTATATATATATATATATATATATATATATATATATATATATATATATGTAAGCAAATATATGGATATAAATCCGATAGTATGATTAATAATGCATATTCAGAATTTTGTTTTTTCTGTATTTTTCTTTCATATATATATATATATAATTTTAGTGGTAAATATACACATACATATGCAATCATATATCTAAAATGTATAAATATATATACATACATACATACATACAGATACATATATATTTGTATAAAAAATAAATTCCAAGAGGATAGAATCCAGGTAGAACTCAATGTCCGGGACAGAATAAGAATATAATAGAAAGGCTTAAAACACTAATATTCCATGGTCATAATTTATTCCATTGGAATCGTAAATACGATCCAATTCATCAGATCTACAAATTCCAAAAAGACTATTTTATTATATATATATATATATATATATATATATATATATATATATATATATATATATATATATATATATATATATATATATATATATATATATATATATATATATATATATATATATATATAGAGAGAGAGAGACTATTTTATTTTATTATATATATATATATAGATTATTTTATTATATATATATATATATATATATATATATATATAGAGAGAGAGAGAGAGAGAGAGAGAGAGAGAGAGAGATATGACTGTTTTCAACTTCTTCTGAATGTTCTACCACTTATGGAATGTTCCTGTAATCAATAAAAAATAAAATCTGAATAACAACACCTATTCTACTTAGTATTCTATTTTAAATGTAGTCCGTGTTGGCACTTGTTTCTCATTTTGTACTACCCACTGCTTTTTTGTTTTCTGTTGACATGCAAAACTCATTTTTAATCACTCGCGACAATGCAATGCAAAAATGAATGGTCGCCATTCCTAGTTAAAAGACGGTCAGACGTTGAGTTCGTTTATCAACCGAAAACACATGAGAAACCTAAATTTCCACTTTGCATATTTTCACAATTAAACTTTGAAATGATAGGAGTGGATAGGTTCGCTTGTCGTCCTGTTAACACTCCTCCCCAATGTTTTGAACAGGCGTAGAGGTTCATCCTTTTGTTGAGATTCTACCTCGCTTGCCTTATTAATTATTCTACCTCGCTTCTTTCGCTTCCCTTATTATTAGGATTAATAATCACTGAAAATGTTTAATTTCAGAATTTTTAATAATATTCCTACTTATGCAAATATTAAAGAAAATGGTAAACATTAAAGAACACCGTATCAAGCATCCAGGGAAAATGATCGCCACATAATTAGGTTTCAATTTAGGTAACCGGTTAGTCATCGTAGCCTAGTCTGTCGGGTAACTATTCCAGACAGGTAAGTTTCCTAAGATCAATGGATGTGAGTTCGAATTCTTTATTCCCGATCGACGCTGTTCGCTAACGATAGTAAAATAACAGTCCGGTGTTTCAATCAAATGCAACAGAAATAAAATGAAAAAAATTGACAAGCCTTCATGTAAGAAATGCGAATTATATTATAGCCATTAGTACATTAAAGAATAAAGAATAATTTTCGAGTATATATTCACATTATTCAACGACTCATTCGAATAAGTCGGCCATGTTCTTAATCCTTTCTTAAGCTAAATAACTAACATTATTCGAACTTATATCGCGTCTATTTTTTTTATTTGTGTTTTAATTTAACCCATAGATTTTCCCTTTTTTTTAAATCCCGGTTTTCCATCACGTCAAACCCGAATAAATGAGTGATTCATTGTCCTTTTAACAATTCTGAGTGCGTTTTCGTTTCATTTGCTGTTTGAACAGAAAAGTTTAAAATGTAATTCTATAGGAGAGAAAAAGCCGCTGTAATATTATTACCATTAGAATTAACATTTGAATAAATTTAAATATTATTATATCCATGTTAAATGGTGTGCCTTGTGGAAAATCTCAATAGTTCAGTACCTTATTCAATGGCCTTACTTTTTATTCTTCTTATTTCGGGTTTCTAGTATTTCAACTTTTCTAAAGTTTTCAAGATAGTATTGATGATAATATAGTCTATTGCTCTTCCAATACTTATATATTTACATACGTATATACTTACTTGTATACTTACATACATACACGATTGATATTTGTCAGAAGAAGAGAATCTTTTAAGTCTTGGACTGTGGAAAAAAGTGGCTCAAAATATCGCTTTACTCGAGAAAGAGAATACGGGGGACAAAATAGGTTTTTATCAAAATGAGTTTTTTTTTAAGGGGAATTCACTGGCGCTGTTAGTAGCTCAATAACACCCATGATGAACTGCCCCTTTTCATATAACACATACACATAGAGAAATATAAGTGCTACCGAAAAGATTTCGTTCCGATCAAGAAGCCCTTAAAATAAATGATGTTTTGTTATTTGGCGAAATTTTTAAAAGTAGGCCATGAACTTTACAGCACCATCACGCAGATAGATAGATAGATAGATAGATAGATAGATAGATAGATAGATAGATAGATAGATAGATAGATAGATAGATAGATAATTTTTTTTGCTCCCAAGGTGGAGTAATGGATAGCGGCTCGGATTGAGGAATCGGAGAGCCGAGTTCAAATTCCAGTCGAATCCATTACAACCTCTTACATGCTAATACCCTTGGGAAAGGTATGAGTCCTCTTTTTTCCATCCAGCTATGGGTAAATAGCAGGGCAGACCGGGTTCTATAGCCTTGGATGGCAACTAATCTACCGCAGAAAGAAATGGCAACCTACTGCGGGAAAAATCTGCCTCGTTAGTCATGTATCGAAAGATACATGATCGCCTAAGCGTGTATCACGCATGGCACATAACTGACTGTGAAGAAAAAAGTATGTTTTCGACAAAAATTATAACGATTTAGTAAGCGTAGCTTAAGTTTGCCACGAGGCCTAAAGTAAGGAGCACCCGATGAGTATCGAATTCACTATTCAATGACCTAGAAAAACAAGCTTGCTAACCATTATACCACGCTGGACAAAAATTATAGCTGTATCAAAACCGACCATTTTCAATTGATTCTATTTCGTCCATTATTTACTTTAGAGTTTCAATTAGAATATTCAGATTCTGCGTGAAAGCTTCAATCCCCTCAAGAGATTTACGATCTCATTGAAAGACGTGAAACACTCAACAACAATCGTATTTCGGGTATTGGCTGTATTGAATAGTCAAGATATGATATTCTGATACGATAGCTTTTTCGTCATCATAAATTATTCCAATTTCCGACTGTTCATACCTGGTGTTCCTTTTTTCACCAGCACCTCCTAATGTCGGTGCAAGCGCACTTATAAGTCAAGGGCTATCTCGACACATTCTCTTCATCTCAAATCGATAATTATATCATTGTCTCCTTTTCTTCACTTGTTGATTCAACTCTTCTGAACTAAAATGGAACATAAATTGTAAGCTAAGAAAATTTAATTTGAATTCCAAAAGAAGTTTTTCCCTAATTGATAATCTGATTAGTTTTTATTACGTTGTTACTATTTTCTTCGTATTTTGTTCCTATTAATCCCATTACAGGATTCAAATGTCTTGATATTGTTCGCCGGATTTAAATAAAGAATTCATATTTAACCAAATGATTTGATAACAGTTTAATAATTCTATACTTTGCCTTTGCTCCTGGGAAATTATGAATTGGTTGTTTGCAGTTAGAGGTTTCTAAAGCTGAATCATATCTGTGCTTTTATTTCATTTAGTTTCTTTTGCGTCTTAAGGAGGGCTTTAACTCTCTTTGGGAATGAAATCGGAAATGGCTCGCGCCGAGAAAGTTATTTTTATCAATAAATCCTTATCCTATTGTATATTTCTCAAATCTTTTTCAAGCAAAACCAATAACAAATTAAATTGGCAAAATGAATTTCAAAATTTTTTTTCTATATGCCGTGTCAGTTCAGGACAATCATAACTCCCCACAATTTCCTCCCCTTTATTAGCTCTTAGTAAATGTTGTCTTTTCGCTACCTCTCCCTGTTCTGTCAACCATTTACGCAAGCTCGTTAAGTAGGTTATACGCAGGGCCAGATTAAGACCTGTTTATGCCCTAAGCACAGGCCCACATTGGCCCAGACCTTCTATGGCTGCTGGTATATTGATTTCTCCCATAATACCCTACTCAAAATTTTTGTAGTTCCTCTTTTGCCACTTGGCACGTGCTTAGTTTGCTTAATGTTTAATCCCGGCCTGGTTATACGTCACCTTCCTCTGTTCCT